GAAAGTTCGATGGGCTTTTCTGCTTTAAATAACCGAGAAGGGTATGGTTTGGCTACAGGCTCCTAATAATCATGATAATTAAGATTTATACTTAAATAGTTCTTTAAGTCTCAAGAGTACTCATGTTAATTAATTATGCTTCCCGAAGCTCCTGACGAGTTGCCAGGGCCAGTGCTATTATCCTCTCTTGAGGTATGGAACATTCCTTTGTCACAGGAAAAGTGAAGAGCTCCCCCTCACCCCCCATGCTGCAAAGCACATTAGTGGTTCAGCCAAAAGTGAAACCCAGACATTTGGACCCCCAGTGTGTGGGGGCCCTGAGTTCTGCCTGCCATTTAGTAAAGGAAGAGGGAAGCATCCGGAAATCAGAAGGAGGGACTGCCATGAGTTAGACAATAGTGCTGACAAACCAAGGACAGTTGATTTGGAAAGAATGAATCCTTTGCGATTTCTTTATCATATGGAATTCTTTGAAATATTTTTCACAAACACACTAAACAGAGTCTGGAAACAGAATTGAGAGAGAAGTCTTTTTTTTTTTTTTTTTTTTAAATAGGGCATTAGAGAGAGACTAAAAGCTGAAAGAAGGAAGCTGCTGTGTCTTCTTCTGGCCTTCACCATCATTTTTTATCTATGCAGCAGGTTGGAAAGGGAACCCTCCTGCCTTCCCACAGGTTTTCTTTATCCCTTAACTACAGAGTCTTACAGTTAAAAAGTCATTGAGTTTTACTCACGAGGATTTACGCAGAGTCCTAAGATTTACTCACGAGCTGTAACAGCTTAGAATAGAGAAGCTCGAGTCTTCCCTTTAAAGGTATTTCGCACAGAGGTCAGAGGATGCTGAAGTGCTTTGGTCTGACACGTTGGAGAGCAAGGACTTTATCATTGACGTTCAGAAACCTGAATGCCCTAAGGTCTGTCCTTTGGAGGTGCAGACAGCCCAGGTGCAATCTGGAGCTTTGTCAGGAGCGCGTGTGTGGCCGTATATGAGGTATCCTGTTTGCACCGGAAGCATGTCAGGCTGCCTCCTGCACCTGTTAGTCCCAGTCCCCAAATTCCCGACAACAGGCCCGAGGTCCAGAACAAAGCACAAGTGCGTGTAGCACTTGCCAACACTTGACACACTCTCCAGAAAACAGAATTGGAACATGAGACAAGCAACAATTTGTGCTTGGAAGTCACTTTCCTTGGGTTGGAAGCAGCAGCTCCTTCCAGGCTGGAGTGAGCTGGGGGGTCATGTGCCGCTTGTTTGGAATGGAGTGGGGTTGACGGAGTTCCCGGGTTTTCAGATTTATTCCAGAAATTTCCATATTTTATTCCGGTGGTTTTCAACATGAAGCTTTAGGGTTTGATGCTTAAATCTGAGATTTCTTGCTTGGTGAGCTACTGGGATGGTATTCAAGGAAGCACAGCTCTGCTCTCAGCCCCCTTACGGGCTCATTGCTCCTCAACTTACGTTCATTCTCTTTTTGTTGGCTTTCCCTCTCATCGTGAGTGTTGGTCTCTCCTCGCCCACCTTTTCGTCCTGAATATCTCAAACAGGCATTTCTACCTATAGCCTATAATGATATATAACGAACATGTTTAAACTAAGTGGAAGGAACCAGTTAGAAATTAGATTTAAAAATGACAGGATATTTTCCCAATCTGACCTTTGGCAGAGGTCTGAAAAGGAAGGGGTGACCTTGTCTTGTATCTGCATTTAACATGATGTTAATAACTATCTTCCTCTTGGAGTATAAACACCACGGGAGGTTAGCTTGACCGAGAAGTTGCTAGAAGCAAAATACTGCGTTCGATGAGCTGGGGTTAGCTGGAGTACTGTGACCCTTGTTTGTGCTAAACTCTAGGTCTGTGTGCGGGGCTTTCTAAATCTTTGTACGCAAGGGTGTTTCTTTACTGTAGCGAGCTGGCCCTCCTCAGACATTGTATAGTATGGTCAGGAGGGGCAAATAGAAAACACCTTATTGTTCTTCCCTCATTGTCTTCCTGTGAGTTTCATAATCTCACGCTAAATTTGCGTCTTTCAGACCACAAAGGTCAAGTGACACTTCTTCTCATACATTTGAGAAAACAAAGTTAGGAAAATGTAGTACTTTTCAGAAAGCATAGATGTGATCTAATGGTTTTGCTGGTGAACTCGGTAGGAAAGGCATGCGCCAATAGGAATTTTAAGTCTGGAAAAAGACTAGTTTTCCAGATTATGGGCTAACCTATTTACTTTTGATCCCATCCCAAATCCTTTTTCTATGCCTGGTATTGGCTGCATTGAACTGATCTGACGTTCTGGATGTTCCCTGGGGGTCTTGTGTGAGTGATGTGTTTAGGTGTTCCCTTTCTGTGACGAGGTCGATTACACCTGTACATCAGTCCTCCCAGCATGTGGTTTAGATAAATCTGGCTCTGGATGCTCAGCCTTTTTACTTCTTTATGGGATTGCATGTGTAAAGGCAGGAGGTGACTGTGTGGGAGGTCCCTCAGGGCCCGAGGACAAATCAGGGTGACCGACTAGTCCTAGTTTTCACACTTAAAGTCCTATGTCTGGGGAAAGCCCTTGTTTCTGGACACACTGCAAGTATTTGCCTGGGACTATCCCAGTTTTGAGACTTAAAGCTCACTGCCTCCGGAATGCCCTGGGTCCCAGGCAGCCAACCTAGTACAAAGGAAGGTCTGTATACTTATATCCAGATACTTAAAAAATATGAATCAAGTTAATGAATTGTTTAATATAATAGCTTCTGTCTTCCTACTTTGGCATATATATGTGTAGAATGACTTGGAAGGGTGGGTTCGAGGATATGATTCTTGCGGCTTCCATGCTGGAACCTAGCAGTTTGGGTAGAGCTGGTTCCCAGCCATTGCCCCTGCCCTGTGCCTCCCACTATATGGCAAGAGGTATATGAAAGTCAGTGAGCAGGCTCGTGGATGTGACAGCTCACCTGCCCTTGCTCAACCCTTCCCCCTCCCTTGGGTCTTGGGTCAGAAGGTGCTCATCCTGGTGGTGTGGCCATCTGTGAGCTGACAGATGAAGTGAAAAGGCTAGCTAATCCTAGGAAGTGTGTCTTTGGGGAGTGCGGGAAAGGAGATGTGAGTCCTGGGTCCTGGGTCCTGGATTGAGGTCTAGAAGTAGAGTGTGAACTCTGGTGGGCAGGTATAATTACAGAAGCTGACTTCTATATTGAGGGCACGGTGAGGAGGGGACCAGAGGGGGATCTTGTAAAGGAATGCATTAGTGAGCAGCTCTTGACTTGTGAGCAGTTCTTGACTTAGTGAGCAGTTCAACGACTTGCTCACTTGGGGGTACAGATCCTTTCCTTCAGTGAGGGTAGGAAATCATTACAGAGATAGGACACCCACTCAGTCCAGGGACTCTGCAAAGGGAAAGGATTTCAGCAGGTGGGTGGGTGTCCTGCATATGATGTCACCAGGGCTGCCACTGGGATTTCATGCTGCTTTAGCCACTGAATTATCTTTCAGACGGCAAGACAGCCTTCAAGGCCCTTTTCCACTGCAAATAATTCTGATAACACGTACGAATATATAATACCTGAAGACTACCTTAAAATGGTGTCTGAGATAATAAAAGTCAAAATACTATTGAAATATACTAGAATCGATGACTTTGCATGAATTGATACAGGGCCATCTCCTATGGTGGCACAGATTGTGCACTGCACAATTTCAGGTGGTGTCGTTCATATAAACTACAGCCTGAATGAAGTCCCATGTAGCATGGAATACTCAGCAGTTTGAAGCTTCCCTGAATCGACGTACACAACCATCTACTTAATGTTCCCCTGTTGAAACAGATATTCTGTTAGTTGAACTGTGTTAAAATTCTGATTTGAACGTTAAGGCCATGTTTACTTGGTTATTTATTTAGACTACCCTTATTACTTACTAGGGAATACATGAACAGAAAATTGGCTCTAGTTTTCCTTTATCTTAAATGATCTTTTTCTGCTGAAGGGTTTAGAAGTGAAATGAGAGCTAAATAAGCTTTATGGTTTACAAGTAAGTAAGTGGAGACTAAAAGCATAGGAAGTATCTTTGGAAGTTTATTTTGTAATCACGCAAATGTTATATCAAATTTTAATTTTATTTCCAAGTAGGCTTTCATATAGAGACCCAGTTAGTTCTGATTGGAGAGTAAATAGCAAATGGTTTTGTCACCAGTTCTTGTCGATGATGGTTTAAAAAAAAAAAAATTAAAAACATTTTTGCAAATTTTTATGGGAATATTTTAAAACAGAATATTCTGATCATCTTGGTGACTAAAGAATCCTTCCACAACCCCCAGATTAAGTGGGTATACTTTTGCATTTGTCCCTGATGTAACATTTATGTGTAATCTCTTATACATAAATCATTTCAATAGAGAAAGCACATTCATCTTTCTGTGTTGTATTAAGGTGAAGAAAGGGTTTGTTGATTCAACCTTGGCAAACCCCATCTGACCATCAAGTGGGGAGCAAGATTATGCATTAGGTATCATTATTTGGGCTGGTTAATAATGTGTTTGTGAAAGCAAGTAGACCTGCTGTAATATACTTTGAAAGTGATACCCAAGCCATCAGAGGTTTTATCTCCATATCACTTGTTTAAAGTGATATCTTTATCACTTTAAAAGTGATCACTTTAAACAAGTGATATGGAGATAATCTGTCTCTGTAATAAAAAAGTACCAGGATTGCCATTAAAATGGTCAAATGTATACTAGAAACGGTTGTAATGCATTGATTGCTAGAGTTTTCCCAGCTGTGAAGTGGTTTTGCAATTTCTCCTCATTCATTTCTTTTCTTTTGAAGGGATGGAAGTTTGGGGACTGGGGAGGGAAAGAGTTCACATGAAGCAAACCAAGAATTTCAGGTTTCATGTATCTGTCCTATGAAACAGCCTATAAACTTATAAAACCTTCAATATCTATTTAGCTCATTTTAGTGGGGATACTTAGTATTAACTCTGAATGCATACTTACAAATCTTTGTTTTGCCTTTTAGGTGCCAACCCAAATTACCCTGATGTAATTTATGAAGGTAGCTATCATGTTGTCTTTATTTTGTATTTTTTCAAGATGTTTGTCTAAAATGAAACAAATCAACTGAAAGATGACTTTAAGCTCAGTTAAATATACACTTTAAGCATTACACAGGCCACAATAATATTTCAAAAATCATTCAATATTGATGGCTGCTTTCCCTTGATATTTACAGTGCTTGTAAATAGAGTTTTCTCTCTCATGTATTGTTCTTGGAAGTAGTAAATCCATTCCACTGTAACAGACATTTTGTTTCTATAATTGGGAACTAATTACCTGTTTAAAAGCCATGACTACCAAGAAAAGGGAGGTGTATCAGTTTCTGGCTTTGACAGTAAACCCATTTCAAAATTATATTTCTTGTATAATAAGGAAGTTTGGCTCACAGACAGGAACCTCTAAAGTAGGGCATGCTTTTAGCTTTGGTTAACCCAGCAGCTCTACCATGTCATCAGGCACCCAAGTTTTTCATCTCTATACCCCGTGTGGGCTGCAACCACTTCCCCCAAGGCTGACTCCCCTCATGGTAGTAAGATGATGCTGACAGAGGGGGCGTTGTCACTCACATTGTTGGGAGAAATGGAGGAGCTTCTGAAAGTGTTCCAGAGGAAAGGGAACTGTCCCAGAGATCTCCATCAGCCCTCCCTGAATCCGATTCAAGACCCAGTGGGTCATGGTCCATTCTTGCCTCCATTATTGATAAGAGGGACAAATTAACCTTTGACTAACTAGAACCAGCCCTGGAGTTTAAGTCTTCCTCAGAGAATATCATTGAACCCTTTGAAAAAGATGGGGTTCTCTTAGGAATGTGGAAAGGGAAAAACCAGAAGGTGGACTACATTAGCTTTTAACTGGACCTCTCATCTGTGCTTTGCTATTTTAATGGAATTCCAGGGATGTGGGTGAAAAATCTGTCTTTAACAGATTCCCAAACTCTCTTCATGACCAGGAAGCCTCTGTTTAGGGAAGTGACAGCCTCAATTTCAAGACTTGGCTCAAAATTTAAGACTGATTAAAAGTTAGTTTGATTAAAATGTGACAAGTATAACTAATTCTATTAAATATTCCATTCTTTAACTTGATGTACATTGGACATTTTTTTAATAAAAAGATTCTATGTTTGCATATTTGTTATATGTAGGTGTATTTAACTTGAGCTAATTTTAACAGAGAATTATATTGTCTTTACCTGTTTTATGCATGTTAAACTATATTTCCTTCAAATTGTGTTATGGATGATTTTGTGCATGTGATTTGTGTATTTTTGTTTTTATTTGTCCCAATACGGCTTAAAGAAAAAGTATCTCAAATTGTGTCACTAGAGAGGTATGTTTGAGTTGTGATTTTACATCTTAAAATTATGGTTTGGACTCTTTTCTAGTAACCTCAAGATTTTAAAAAGGCTATTGGCCTCAGATCCCACTTTGGATCTCTGGGCCAAATATGATATTAAACTATCAATACTTTAGTGATTTAATTTTGTATGTGTGGCTCATTAGAATATGAAGAGGTAAAAAATTAGCAAATGGATGATATTTCTTAGTGTTTGGTTGAAAACAATGTTCTAGTATATTTAAAATGAAAATGGTGACAATGTAGTTTCGAAGTTAAGGATAAAACAGCAAACAGAAAATAGATGCTTTTTCTGTTACTGTTTATTCACATGGAAAGGAGCACTCTGCTAACACAAATATAATTCAAATTTGTTGCCTCAAAGCCAGCCTGATAGTCCTACTGAGGGAAGTTCAGCTGGGGCTGACTTAACGAGGTAGTGTGTTCAGGATGGAAATCTCATTCCTCATATCTATTGAGAAGAAAAGTACCAAACATTTAAATATTGTCTGCAATAAGTTCATCAAAAATTTTCTATGACTTTTTTATATGTAATATTACTAATAAAAACATTCACTACCCCCCCCATCATTTATGTCCAACCTGATCCATATAGATGAAAATCCACTCAGAAGATCCCCTCAAATGCAGTGACATTTGAGATGTGCTTGGGAGTTTGTATGCCCACAATTCTAAATACTGTGTTGGTGTAGCTCCCTCTGTATTAATTCAGAGACTGAAATGTTGGCAATTCAGACCTTTTCAAAAAAGTTCACATGGGCACCCAAGTTTAGGCTCTGCCACCTTCCTTCCCGCCAGTTGACCTTACACTAGTCATTGACTTTGCTCAGATGACGTTCTTCAGCTATTAAACTGGCAGTTAGAGTCCTAATCCGAAGGGTCTTCCAGGTCTAGAAATGTATGACTCTTACAGGATCGGTTTCCTTTCATATTTATATTAAAGACTTCATTGAAAAAAAAAAAAAGATATATTCTTACCTACCAAGGGAAGCCTGGTTCAGAATTTGTCCTCCAAACCAGTGATGGAAAGATCTGGGTTGCGTAACTTTTAAGCCTCACACGATCCCAGCACTATGATGGCTCTCACCCAAGAGCTGGTCCTGTTCCTCCACAGTCAGGCTGTCAGGGGCTTGGAATCTTTGTGATTTGTGTTGCTTCGTGGTTCTGGGTCATACTGCATCCTCGTGCTGGTTGGTAGCCTGGTGACAACTTCATGGTTCCTTCTCTTTCGCATTTCTCCCATTTAAGATTATGGGACTGCAGCAAATGACATTGGGGACACCACGAACAGAAGTAACGAAATCCCTTCCACAGATGTTGCTGACAAAAGCGGTCGGGAACATCTCTCGGTGAGTGGGACAAAGAGTTGTTTCCTAGGTGGGCTCTGAACGCCGTGGGAGCTTAAATGCTGGGGGAGCCGAACTGCTTTGGCGTGTGTCTTTCAACACATTTTTACTGTTCAGGTGTGAATAGGGTGTTGACGTTTGGAAGACTTCACAGAAAGGTTCAAGAGAAGGGATAAATGTGCCAGGTAGCCTCTGACTTACTTGCTTCCCCCTTTTATGTGCCTCTTTAATTGCTAGTGGTTCTTACTTTCAATGTCTGTCCTTGGAAAGACTATCACTAGAAGAGCAGTGTCTCATTTGGGCATTATCCTTGTCTTCGGCACCGTCACTCCTGTCTCGTTCAGGATTTTAATAAGAGTTTCATTGCCCACTAAATTAAGAGATCCCATAGGTTCTGGGAGGGACTGGCAGTGGGAAGACAGACAGACTATGAAGGAATAGCAGGTCTGTCCTTCAGGAGTTTCTATGTCGGTCAGAGCCGTGAGATGTGAACGGATACGAGCCCCTGTGGCACAGGTAGAGAAGCAGTGGGATGGGAGAGCGGCACGCAGAGGGGCAGGTGCCCAGGTCCTTCCCACTGGGAGAGCCAGAAGCGTCTTGGTGGGGCCGGGGGCATTTTCCAGCAGGGCGGGATGGCTGGTTTTTAGACTGAGAAGAAACAAAGGGAAGGGCATTTTGGGTGTGCGCACACAAGCCCGCAGGCTGGAAAAGAGTTTTGATGGGAAGGTAAAGGGTGTGAAGGGGGCCAGTCAGAGGCGCGGCTGGAGAGGTAGTTGTGCCAGGTCATGGGGTTTTGAAACACGGTGCCAGGCGTTAGATTTATCATGCAGGGAGAAGCCACTGAAGGGGATGTGCTTAAGCCCCAGGACTCTGGCAGGGTTGGTCTGTCAGCTGCTCAGCTCAGCACCAGCAGCGTCCCTCGTTCTTCTACTCACTGTCACATGCACCCAGTCGCCTGTGCTGCGAGGTCTGCCACCTGATAAACCCCAAGCCTCTGCTGCTACGGAAATAGCCCAACCTGAGGGTGGGCAAGCCATGGCCCCCGGGCCCACTCCGCCTTACCCCCTGTATTTGTGCCATCTGCAGGCTGAGATGAGTTTTTACATTTTTAAGTGGTTTGGGGAAAAAAAAAAAAAGGAAAAGGAGAATGATGTTTCATGACACATGCAAATCTTATACAATTCAAATGTCAGTGTCCGTAAAAAAATAAAAAGTTTTATTGGAACGCGGTCGTGCCTGTTTACATATTGTCTGTGGCTACTTTTTGCTAAGCGGGGGCTGGAGTAGCTGCAGCAAAGACTGTATGGCCGGCAAAGCTGGAAGTATTTAGTATCTGGCCCTTCACAGAGGACGTTTACCACAGTGCTCGTTCCTGGATGACCTCCACAGCCTCTACTTGTCCCTCCTCTCCCATCTTGTGATCTCCCGGCCTTTCTCCATACAGCAGCCTGAGTGACCTTTGAAAAGCACAATTCAGATCATTTTTATTGTCATTCTCAGAGTCTTTCCAATGTAAGAGAGTGCAAGAGAACTTTTATTATGAAAACCCAGCTCCTCATGGTGGCAAAAAGGCCCCACATATCTTGCCCTTGTCTGTGTCTCTTCCTTCACCTTGCACCCTGCCCTCGTGTGTGCCACCTGTCCTTCTTCATGTTCTCTCGCATGCCCTGGGCTTACTCTTGTTTCACAGCCTTTATGTTTGCTGTTCCCTCTAAAGGCATGCACTTCCCAGTGGTCATCATATGGCTTTAGCCACCAGGCAGCCATGATCATGTTCCATTTTCTTCTGAGCAGTTATTATGGTCTGTAATTCCCTTGCTTCTTTATTGTTTACTTGTGTGTCTTTTTTCCTTCCCTAGATTCTTTTTAGAGAGAGAGCACCTGCACTTGGTTGAGGGTGGGGAGGGGCAGAGGGAGAGAGAGAATCTCAAGCAGGTTCCACGCTCAGAGCCTGAGGTGGGGCTCGATCTCACAACCCTGAAATCATGACCTGAACCAAAATGAAGAGTCGGATGCTTAACCAACTTAGCCACCCAGACCCCCCTCCTTCCCTAGATTCTTTAATGAGTTTCCAAGTCTAGGCAACCCAGTCAGTGTTTTTCAGAGCTGTATCCCATCATCCCTTGAATAGTGTGTGGCACTTAAGGGATCATAAAAATTGGAGACTGATTAGAGTAATGGTGAACATTCCAGAGTGGGTTGCAGGACAGAGAGATTGGAAGTAGTGTGATTAGTTAGGGGTCCGGAGCAGTCATAAAGAGATGTGATTTATCTTTAAACCAGGGCCCTGGTGGTGGGAACAGGAGGCTCATAACAGATGTAGTTCAGCTGCAACTCAAAATATGCATATCCAGTACCTGGAGACACATACACACACACACACACACACACACACACACACACGTATTTCCATAGTTGACGGTATGCATTGCATTGAAACAGCAAGGACAAATGCCAGGGAAAATCAGCTGCAGAATGTTTTCTACTTCCTTCCTTGTGCAGTTGTTTTGACTTATTCTCATACCAAACCACTTAGTGTTTTCTGGTTTGAGAAAGTTGTTTGTGTATGTAAGGAATCCAAGGAGCATGTGTTAAGCCCACAGGTGTGTACCTATCCCAGTTACTAAAAATTACATGCCAACTTCACTTTTCTCTTTTGAGACCAAATGATAAATTTAAGTCCTTGTATGGCATATCTCAGGGATATTTGGACTATCTGCAGTAGGGCTGCTGGAAGGTGAGATCAATGAAAATTAATCTTTGTTGCAAGTTCCACCTGAGGTCCCTGGAAATCTGCATGACAGGTGCAAGGTAATGCTTTGTAGAATTTAAAGAAAATGTAAAACTTCAGTCTGGATCAGATGTTTAACATATGAATAGTTCCTGATCACAGGGAGGATTGTTAAATTAGAAGAAGAGTGTCAGAGTCAGGGAACTGATAGAAGAGTTAAAGGTGCTATCAGAGCATTTGGAAGACAGCCTCAAATGCTATCGATTCTGGTCCAGTAAGTAATCCTCATGAACCTTGCTGGATTTTTCAAGTGGGGCAGATCCTTGTTCTATGCGGAGAGATAGCCTCAGATTAAAAACTACTAACCAACTAATCAACTAACCATCCATATAACTGATCAAACAACCGACCAGCCAACTAAACAACCAGTCAACTAACCAAATAACCAACCAACTAACCAAACAACCTGTCAACTAAACAATCAACCAGCTAATCAAATAGCTAACCAGCCAACAGCCAGCCAGCCAACCAAGCCAACCAGTCAAGCAATAAATGAACAAATACATTCACCCCTGCTTGTCTCTCACATAAAGACCACCCCCACCCCACACATGCATGGTACATGGGACTATATTTATCAAACAATTCATTGTTGAGGAAACAATTCTTCTCATTGTCTTTGGATTCTTTGTTTATTAAAGGATTTTTTACATACAGAACTTCTTCCATAGTTTTAAATATTTGCTAGCAAATCATTAGCTGCTCCTTGGTGGTGGAACCCTTTCCCATTTTCCAGGTTGACTTAAACACTCTATAAACAGAGAAGTCAGGAAAGGTATGATCTTCACGTACAAATGAGGGACTGGAGGCTTGCAGAAGTGAAGCATCTGTTAGCTCTCCCAGCTCGTAAAGGCAAGGTGTTCTGTGAGCATAAGGACCAAGTCTTCTGAATGCCAATTGAGTACTTTCTGAAGTGGGTCAGAGGCTGTCTCTGGTCTTACAGAGAGGTTGTGGGGCTCAGGGCAAGTCCTCTAAAATCTCTCCATCCCTGTTTCCTTATCTATGAAATAGGGATTGAACTTCTTTATTCAATTTTTCTCCTTCTATCAGTACAAGTCTGGAATTTAATAAGATCGAGAAACCGAGAGCTTAAATACTATGATCTCTTTTCCATGCAAATGTTAGTTAGAAATAAAGATGAGAAAACAAAACAAAACAAAAAACTCCAAATCATTAGGTACGTTTGAGGGCAATGGTCTTAGCTACAACAAGTTGTTCTATAATTAACTTTTTAGGAATCACAAGCACTCTACATAGGCCACAGAGAGAGGGTTAAGTCTGCATTCAGACTTTGGCGGAGTGATCCTGTGGGAGAGCCACTCACAACTGCAAGCTGAGAGGAGGATTCTCACAGCTTGGTGCCCCTCTGGCCAAGGGCATGGCATGTGCCCTTTCTCGGGTTTTACACCTTCTTTAGTGCTGTGCTGTCCTGTCCCCAGTGGACATCAGAGAGGATGTCGCAGAAGGATTAGCCATGCATTTTTACTATCCTGCCTTCCCTCTCAGCCATGGGTTTTGAAGAAGTAGTATAAAGGCTAAATCATGGAAAAGCCCCAGGTATTGTACTTAGAGACTTCAGTTCAAATCCCAAGCTCAGAAGCTTATTTAATTTTTTATAAATCTCAGTTTTACCATCCTCATAGCCAACATTAATTTATAATCTATTGTAGAAGACTCTGTTCCAAACCTGTTATCTCACTGAGCAGTTAAATAATCTGCAAGGTAGAATGATTATATTCCCTGCTTCACACATGAGGCATGTGGGATGCTGAGAGATGGAGTGATTCTGAGGTCAGGCACCTAATAAGTGGTAAATCTAAATTCCAAATTCATGAGGAGCTCACGTTCTTAATCTCTCCCCTGGACTGCCTCTCATTCTGAGATGGGTACATCAATCAGCATAAGTTATGCTGCAGTAACAAAAATCCCCAAATCTTAGCAGCTTTAAATGACAAATGTTTATTTCTTGCTTTACTATTTGTGTTGACTGGGAGTTCTGTCAGCCTTGTCCTCATTCTAACTGAGACTAGGTTGAAAGGCAGCCACTTTGGAAAGTTAGCATTTATGAAGGCCGAGAGAAAGAAGTATGAGCAGCGTTCTCAACCTTGGAGCTATTGGCATCATTATTATGGATGAATAACTTTTTGTTGTCAGGGGGGCGGGGGCTGTTAGTGTTGTAGGATATTTAACAGCCTTGACCCATTAGATGCACTAGCACCCTCCTCCAGTTGTGACAACCCCAAATTGACAGATGTCCCCTGGGTATAACATTATATCTGGGTGTGAATAACTGCCTCAGTCTAAGATCTCATGTAGCAGTGAAATACTCCGTTGTCAGAGAGACAAGTCTCAGCTCATTGGCCAGAACTGGTCACATGTACCCATCTTACCACAAGGAAGCCAGGAAGTGAATCTTACAAAGAGAAACACAGGGAGAAATAGAAATGTTTGGTAAACAGCATTAATGATTACCACAGATGGGAATAATAATATCTGTCTTAAGGATTATTATGCAGATGAAATGAAACAAAAAGAAGCTTACGCATCTAATTAAGTGTGGACATCTTAAACAGTTTAGCAGTCTGCAAACTATACCCATCTGTTTTTGTAAATAAAGTTTTATTGGCACCCAGTCATGCCCATTTGCTTATACATATTGTCTATGGCTGTTTTCACTCTACACCAGCAGAGTTGAGAGGTTGTGAAAGACATCGTATGGCTCCCAAAGCCTGAAGTATTTACTGTCTAACCCTTTATAGTGAAAGTTTGCCACCTCCTGGTTTAGAGAGTCATACTTTTCTTGGGAGCAAGACCTTGGAGTGAACGGTAGGAATGGAAGGAGATGCATTGTCCCACTTCCATCTTTGTTTCTGGAATGTTACTATGTACTTCATCAGCATTACACACTTGTGCCTCTGTGATCTCGCTCAGGGGTGTGGCAGGATTCTCGTGGATCTGCAGCTACCCTTTCTACTTGTATCATCCACATGTTGCGATTACATTTTTAAGCTTTAAAAAACTTTGTGTTGGCCTCTTTCATACATACACATATGTGTACCTATCGTGAGTCTGCAACCCCATGAACTTTCACAAGTGAACTCACGCACAGGTACCCCTCCTTCTCCCTTCCAGGTGTACTCCAGCTCCACGGGACTCTGATTTCTAAGAGCATCCACAGCCAACTCAAAAAAAAAAAAAAAATCTTTTTATTATGGACAGCTTTCTAAATGCCCAATGGTAGAGAGCATAGCAAAATGAATTCCCTTTATATCTTTCATCAGCTTCAGAAATAATCAGTATTTCATTATTCAAGTTATTCTGCCTCCTCTCTCCGGGTGGGTAGGTAGGAGGCTAGATACATGGGGAGAGAGTAATATATCTTTGTGTTTAATTTTTTATAAGCTTCTAACTTACGTGTTCTCATTTGTAAAGCAAGGATAATATTCAGACTTATGATATTTCATTGTAGAATTGTTGGGGGGTTATGTTGTTATGTTAATATCTTATGATATTTCATTGTAGAGTTGTTGGGGGACTTATGGTATTTCATTGCAGAGTTGTTGGGAACAGACTGACACAAAGTTCCTAGCATTGCAAGTGGTAAATATGAACCGTCATCCTCATCATCATCATCATCTGGATGTAGGGAACTAAGGAGCAAGGTCACGACCGCCCTCCTTCCTTTTCTTCTAGGTCTATGCTGTGGTGGTAATTGCGTCTGTGGTGGGATTTTGTCTGCTGGTGATGCTGTTTCTGCTGAAGTTGGCAAGACACTCCAAGTTTGGCATGAAAGGTAAGAAGGTTGTGTTTATTTTACTTCTTATGTGGAATCATTTTTGGCTTCTGACTAATGCTAATTACCACTAAAGAAAGAAGCAGCTAGATTTACGATGACTAGGTTTTAAGGCTGAAAAAAATAGCACCAAGGCTATGATACTACAAATCAAGGCAGAGCAAAAAAATGTTGATTACTCAGCAGTACCCACTTTCCAAGGAGGACGGTTGTCTCAGAAGACACCGAACTGGTTTCCTGAGTCTCAAGTGACTAATAACGATATAGGCGAAGAGTGCCTGGGTTTCCTTTGGCTTCAGAAAGGCAGGCGAGGTGTGGTGGCAATAGGTCAGTTAGGGACACAGATATTTTGTGCAGAAGGGTCCTTTCTGCTGTGCAGGTGCCTTCCAGACCCTTCCATGGTAGCTTTTGTAGTTGCTATTGCTTTTAGAGTAAGATTCTCATCTTCTGAGATTTGAACTGTGTTGGGAAGTGAAATCAGAACACCGGCTGTTCCTTGAAGATTTGTGAATGTGTGTGTGTGTGCACGCATGTGTGAGCCTGTGTTAACAGAAAGACTCCCAATGCTCGATTAAAAATTGGTGGCTGTGTTCCCCAATAATAGACTAGGGTCTCTTTCAGAGGACTGAAAATTCATTTTAGGGGAGAAAACTTGTTTAAATGTTGTTACATAAATAGCCAAGAGTCTCAGTGATTGAAAAGAATTTGCTCTGAAGTTTAAATGTTACATATTGACTAAGACGCTATTGTTGAGTTTTGTGTGGTCTCTTACAAATAGCCACTAGTTTGGGAAAGCCGCAAAGAAGGGTTAGTGGTGGCTTTGCTGTGTTGGAGACAAAGTGGTGGGTTTTCTTGATCTGTCTGGTTCATCACAATCACTACTCACGTCGCCTACTTACTTGGAAGGGATGTTTATGGAGCGATATGCTGTCCAGTGTACACTGGGCTCTGGGGTGGAGAGGATCTATTTCTGTTGTTTTCTCCTCTCTCTCTGTGGGTGCCCATGATCGAAATCCCTAAACCTGAAACGAACAGGGAGATGTAGTGGTAAATTGGGCCTTGAATGGCCCCCAGATTGGCTCCTGACTTTCTCTTGACCTGCCAATTCTTGACATTTCTTTTGGTGGAAGAAAGCTCTCTCATTCTCCAATTATAAATAAGGCCTGGAGGAGAGACTGTACTAAAGTGATTTTAATTAGTCCTACTACAATGCTGGTTTACGAACGTGACTTTGCATCAGCAGCTCCTGGAGGGCTTTGAAAACACAGGTTTCTGGCCCCACCCCAAGAGTTGCTGATTTAAAAGGTCTGAGTGGGTCTGATACTTGGCATTTCTAACAGTTTCCAAGGGATGCCCATACTACCGTGGCCCAAGTGTTCCTGGAGAAATCAGCATTCTATGGAATCAATATGGGTGAGCACCTTCTGAGTGACAAGATGGGGGGGTGGTGTCGCTTCACAGACCTTTCTGGGCCTAGGTCCGGGCGAGGCTACTGTTCTCGGCATGTCAGCCACCCACCATGGCGTTTCGTTTTCATCATTCTGATCAAGTACATTCTTTCCTTAGAGGCACTTGGAGTGGAAGTCCCCAAGCAGGGATTTTCCTGGAGAGAGCCAGAGGGTTTCGTTTGAGACCTTCCTGAGGTTTTAGTTTGAGACCTTTCATCGCATGGGCTCTTCAGAGAGAACAATCTGTCTAGATTCTCCTGGGAGCTGCACAGAAGCTTCCGGAACCCCAGCAGCAATATTTAGGAACCGCCCCCAACCCAGCTTTGTGTTAGGAAAACAACCTCCAGAATGGTCTGTAAGTGTTCACATGGTCTGTTCGGCGCAGGGAGAGAGGGAATAGAAGGTAGACATTTGTTTCAAGGAAGATTGTATTTCCTGTAGAGACTCCCACATGAAGACTGAAACAGATTTTTATTTGGATAATTTGGGATGATAACCGCGAAAGCACCTACATTTCCTGAATGTGTATAACCTAAGGGGATCCTTAATGAATTGTAGAAAAGAGTTTGCTGATCCTTGTCCCAGAGCCAGTAAATGACTTCCTTTAGGCAGTAGCTACCATATTGTATGTTTCACTCCCTTATTTCCAAACATAAGTAAAGTTGTTTTGAAAAAAAAAATCATCTCGGAGACTCCCGGTCTTGTTTAGAATAACTTCTTTTTCTGTTTTCCGTGCCGTGGTTTGAACACATGGGGCTTGAGCTGAGGTTACAGTTTTACCTGTCAGATGCTGAGTTGATGATTCGGGGGGGACGGGTGGGGGTCTGGAAGACAAGATGAGGGCAAATGAAACTGCATAAAAAGTGGTTTTTAAACATTAATAGAAGTCATTGTACTTTAAATGCTGTAGGTGCCAGGATCACTGCTGAAAAAGACGTATGTAAAAATAGTATCATGCCCCCTGAAATGGCCAGGAAACATGTGAGTGGTGATTTCTCAGTAACAGCCATGGGAAATGTGCATGCATGGCCTTGGCCGGGAAAAGTGCATAGCCTTGGCGGGGACCTATGGCCCCGTTCTGTGTGATGTGCAAATGAGCTATTCCAAATGTAATTCTTGCCTTCGGAAGCCCCTTCGGGACATTCCACCTGCTTGCCTAGTCCTTTGTCCTGGAGACAGGCTGAGATGCAGGTGGCAGTCAGCCCACCCACCAAGCATTTGCAGGTTTTCGTCCATCCCCGCGTCGCACGCTTGAGGTTCCAGTGCCGACCGCGTCATCACAGCAGCCGTCTGGGATCACACCCATAGTTTAAGACTGTTGATCAGAAGGGCCTTGGGCGGGGGGACCAGAAACCTCTTTGGAAAATCACACTGCAGCTGTATGCAGGTCCCAAACATGATTGATGGTGTTGTTTCTGTGCGAAGGGGGTCTCTAAATCCCAAACCTGGGAGTTAAATCTGGATTTTAGAATACCACCAGTGACGGGTGGTGTGTTTCTCTGGAGGTAGGTTTATGTGACTGGAAGCTTCCTAGGGTTTATTCTCTGTTCTGTTAATTCACTGTGAAGGGACCGTCTTACACATGGAGCTTTGGCTGGGAGCTCTGTGAAGACAGGGTTCGTAGAAGTCTCGTTCACAGAGAATTTTCAACTTAAGTCACTTCAGTTTAGTGATTGGAAAACAGTTGGTGTTTGGAGGACAGTCCGCATGTGGATGGTTCAAGAGAGACCAGAGAGCTTTTCTAAGTTTTTAAGAAACCAGAGCCCCTCTCCTCCCCCAACCCCTGCTTTCTTTGATTATTCCGGATAAGTAATGGCCCTAGACAGGAGGTCATTTTACTAGATTTTTGCTTAGGATTTCTAAGTTTTCATATAATTACTATTTCAGTTCGGAGGTCCACGTTGGCTTTCTGTTTTATACACGAGCATTGTGGATTTCTGCCTCTCTGCCTGTGAATGTCCCGCCTCGGAATATGTGTCTTTGTCAGCTTTGAAACTGGTGCAGGTGCCTGGTGGTGGCTCCCATCTTGGCGCTAACCTGGAATGTATCTTTCTCTATTGCTTGCTCTAGTTTAAGCTTCTTGTTGCCAGTGTTCTGTGGACTGCTGGCCTTTTGTCAATAGAGATGTCAGGAGGTAGAATTTACCCCAGTCTGTTTTTCCGTGCTCATTTTCGTGTCTGTACACCACCCTATTTGCTTACTGGGTATCTGGTCACCGTCATCACGGAAGCCCCGGATATAGGCCTTCTGTTAGTGCTTGGTCATCCGTGTAGGGCTTATTTATATGTGCGCTTAAGATAGATGCCTAAAATACATAACAGACTACCGCCATCTATGTCTGTATCTGTACCCCATACATAAATGCATAATTTTATCCCTTTTCTCCTCAGGCTGCCTCTGATTGATTTTAATTTTAGTTTCCACTGAAATAGGGCTCCAAGACTTTTCCAGAGCAGCTGTATTGCCAAAAGAACAGGCAATGAGACCTCAGCATGCTCTTGTGTTGTAACCAAGCCTGGTGTTTAGTTCTCACATTACTTCCTGGCTCCCTCTCTTCACAGAAGATGGAGAAGGGCTCAGGACGAGGAAATGGAAGCATCAGGGGGCATGAGGGCTGCGGGGCCTTCCAAGAGCACTCCGCCTCTGGGAGCCCCGCCTGATGGTGTGGATGGTGTGCAGGCTTGGAAAAAATCTAAGGGATCCAGAAGGGTGGAGGGGGCCTGGCACCCGTCACCCTGATGGAGAGTCCTTGTGACCATCAGCTTTGTGCCACGTGCGTTTCTCGATGGAAGCCCACATAATGTTATTGCTTCCCTGAGGACTGTTACCTCCTTTGTCCATTGAGAGTACATACATCTAAGTGACCCGAAGACGTCCCACAGGAGGAACTGGGCTAGGAGGCCCGTTCTCTCATTCAGTGTTGCTAGCCTCCAGATTTTATCGGCAGCCTCCTCTCCTTGCACGTAAACCGCCGATCTGCATTCATTCCTATGACTTGAGATGTAGAAATTTCAAATTCCTAACTGCCCAGAGAACCACACTCCCTGAGAAGGCAGAGCCAGGTTTTCTTGACTCCAGATGCAAGGTCCACAGTTTGTTTTTCCTCTTATAAATGTCTTTCAACAGCAACCAAAATTTTGGCTATTTCAAAAGAGTCATAAACATATAGTGGGACCGAAGCTAGAGAAGCTGGAGGTTAAAGCCTTTTCTACGAACTGAAAATGAATCTGGAAAGTTGAGAAGGTTGAGTTGAACAGATATTTGGATCAACTTTTAAAAGAGGGGAAAAATGTGTTTGAAAGCCAGAAGCACAGTTGTAGAAACATCTGTAAGGACAAACTGTTTTCCATATGCACCCCCGCTGTTTTTTTATTTAAAGACAAATAACTTAAAAAAATTATAACAGTAACGCATGAATGCGTTCTTGCTTTTCACAGTTTCAAGCGGTTTCGAAACATATGGAGCTAAAAGCAGGATTGTTCCTGACCTTCCTTTTTTGCTGCCCTTTCTACTGCTGGGGATAACCTTCTTTAACCATCCAGAATGCATAGA